TGGCACTTACGTGCCATTTAACATCACTGGCGAGCAAGCAGTCCTAGTTTCCACTTATAATCAGGGAAAAACTATTTCACCTGGTGGTACACCATATAAATATGTGTACACAGACCCAACGGGTGTTAATATTATCGCACAATTGAATTGGGCCGCTGATCAAGCTGGATGCAGTCCTGAGGGTGCTGAGCATTGAAATCCAACGATTGTATTGTGAGAAAGTTGGAATTATAGGCCAAATACATAGAGGTTTTTAACTGGTCAATCATATGACCTCCTGTAGTTAGATATACAAGGAGAGCTTTTGCCTCTTCTTTCCACAATAATCAACCTTCTACATATATACATTTGAACCTATATAGCATCAACCCCAAAACCATTGTGAACCCTGTTTTCTTTATAAGTGACATATTACAATGTAATCTAATTCAGCTTCCAATTCCCTCCTCACAGCGTGCTATCGGGACGCACGTATCTCGACCTACCACTTTTACAGTATCACTCATCTCGATTATAATCCGTTACGCTGCGACGGAAACAGCATCGATGATAATTACGGCGGTGCTTACGTCTGGAATGGGCCCTTTGGATGTATTGAATATATGCTTTATGCGGTTGATAGTGGATCAGGAAGCAGTACTTGCAGCTGTTCTGAGGATGGATGCACCCCAGATATAGTCCGGCATGTTCTGCTGATGGGACTTGTGATAGTACACGGAAGTCTGCAGCGCCGAGCTCCGCAGCTTTTATTGTTGGAAGAGCCATCTCGGGAATTGGCGTCTTTAATGGAGCTGTGTAGACATAACTTTGTCATTTTCCGCCAGCCTCAGCTATTGAAATATGTCCTTAAATTATTTGTATTATTCACGCAGTGCCACTACAAAAGCGCCACAGGTTGTCGGGCCTGTTTCGACGCCATCTTTAGAGTTGCACCAGTAGTGGGTCCTCTAGTAAGGGAGCCTTAACCTCGAAAGTGACCTGGAGATGGTGTTTTTATATCAATGCTCCCGTTGGTGGTGTAGCAGTTGTCATCATGCACTCTGCCTCAACGTTCCTGACCAAGATAACACCAAGCTAGCTTTGATAGATAAACTTTCGCCCCTGGATGTCATTGGCAACATGGTCCTAATACCTGGAGTAGTTTGTCTTCTTTTAGCTCTCCAATGGGGAGACCAGACGTATGCTGTGATTGAGCGGTATCCTCTTTTGCGTTTCCTTATTTATTGACCATCAGTAGTGGGAAAATGGACGAGTTATAGCTTTGCTAGTTCTCATGGCCGTAGGTTTGTGGCTTTATTGCCGTTCAAATACTACTTCCAAACACGGCCACGATACCTCCGCGTATTGCTAATCAGTAGAGTATTATTGCTGGCTTCTTGGCAACTATCTTCACAGGCTCTTCGCAATATGTGTGTAGTAAAAAGTCACTAGTACTGTATTATCTTAGAAGCTAACCTTTCGTGTAGTATACTTCCTACCAATTTGGTTTCAAGCCATAGGTGGAGTCTTTGCAGTAGACTCTGGCACCCGGTTGCTGCATTTGATGTTAGCAACAGTGCTTGCGACGATTCTTGCAGGAGTTGCAATTCAAAAGATTGGCTATTATACACCGATCGCAATCGCTGGTTCTTGCATCATGTGCGTTGGGGCTGGACTTCTTATGACGCTGCAAATTGACACAGGTGAGGGAAATGGATCGGTTATCAAATCCTATACGGCTTTAGCACGGGCATGGGTCCTCAGGCACCAAATATTGCTGCTCAGACCGTCCTTTCGACACAAAATGTCTCACTTCGAGTAGCGCTCATGTTCTTCGGCCAACTCATGGGCGCAGCTGTACTCGTTTCCGCTGGACAGAACGTGCCAGGCACGCAACTTGTACAGAGATTTCCTGGGTTCGAGCCTAGTCCTATCACCTCGAGTGGCGCCACATCATTTCTTAGCTCGCTTCCTGAGAATCTACAGGAGACTGGCCTTGTAGAGTATAATGAAGCATTGTGAAAGGTGTTTCAGATTGGACTATTATTGTCCTGCCTTACAGCTCTTTGCACATTGCTATGCTGGAAGGAAAGAGTGTAATCAAGAGGCCTAATGCAGTCGCCGATGACATCCATAACACCAGCAACGTTGGAGAGAAGGTGGCTGATACAGATGAAAGTGCTGCATCAGATCCTAGGCTGGCGGCATAGAACCGTAAGAAATTCTGGATGTATAACATTAGCGAAAGAGTTGGCGTTCTAGACTGTCTTATAGGATTCCATCGGGATTTCAACGATCAATTGAAACATGTCTGATCAAAACGTTAAATACAGGGCTTGAAGTGAGAGTGTTTGCAAAATCTGTTTCTAATAAGAACGTGAACTCTCGAAATGGCAAAGGAGAAATTGACACAATGTAGGACGGCAACGACTTTATGCAGCGGCATCAGACAAATTGCAGATTCAAGAAATTAGAGTTGCGAATGTGGGTTGAATATCTCCCTGACAAATCAACTTATTGCAATCGAGATCATTCGTAACTTTACTTAAAGTATTAATCAAGTCTTATCGATCAAGTCTCTGGAGATCGTGCACATACCTACAGCGCTTGAAACAAGTTGAAAGAGAGATCAAGTACACTTCCAGGTCTCAATCATCCGGCCAGCTTCCCGCAAATCGAAGGAGATTATGGAAATTCCTTCAAAGTAAGAATGGTCGTGAGATTGCCGCGCACCTTGCAAAAGAGCTTCATCATCTGCATGCATTGACTGGAGACCCCGCTTCTCGTTTTCGCATACTGAGTCCCCAATGCCCAACAAAGTATTTGCCCTCACGATCCCTACGATCTTATCAAACCACGCCATCCATGGTGGGTTCACGATGCCCACTTGAATGCCTCACTGGAATAAAAATTCCCCACACGTTCTGTGAACAACGCCATGAACCAAGCAAAGCAAACTCAGGATCGACCAACCAGCTGTTACTCGAAGGAATGCAACAGCAGCGGCTCGGTGGCAAGATCACGAGAATTCCAGCCTCGGTAATGCATGTTGTGTGGGTGACCATGAATGTGGAGGTGGCATACATGGATTTATTCGAGATGCATGAAATTTATGGAGAAAAGATACATTTTCCCTCGACAATCGTATTGACGACACTTATTCCTGTTTTGCCCGCTTCCCAACAAAAATTTTGGAAGAAATATTCATGCTTTGTTTAGGCCCACCACTAGGCAAAACCGGGTTGTGGCCGGGTGTTCGTGCCATGTCAGGTTGAATCTTCAATTCTAATATTTTGATTGGTTGAAAATGATTTGAACTTCCGAGCACAACACTGGCAATGAATGAATACCTCCTACCCGGTAGTTCCGTGGTGTGGTGATTCGTGAATTATAAAGTGTTTGTGATATTTCCTGTGAAGACGAGACAGTGTACTGAGCTTCAAGGAATCAAGGTAGAAGGGAGCATAAAGAAATGGCTTTAATACCGGGTATCTATTATCCATCAATCAAACTATTCATCAATTATTCACAAAGTCCCCTATTAAGAAAAGATCGAAACTCATCAACCACGCTTAGAAGGATTTCCATTTTGGGTATTAACGATAATGCAGGTCCCCCCAAAAATAAACTCTTTGGTGCCCCCTCCATCCCCTGCCAACCTGAGCTCTTGGACGTTATTTTAGGGGTCCAATAAAGGTTTCATATGTGATATATGCCCTGCGTAGGGTACGAGACTAGGTGGAATGGGATGGGAGGGAGCCAATCTCAATTTTGTAATTGAATTCATTGCGCGGTTGAGACATTTCAGACATCCCCTATAAAACACATTCAGAATAGAACGTAACGTATTGTCAGGATTACAAGTATTCTTTACTTCTTAGCGGAAAGCCAAAATAATAACTTTTACCTTTTCGTCTTCCTCATTTATCCGGTGATGTTGAACTGACTGATGGATGTTGTATGTTGTTGGAATGGAAGGGTGATTCCTGGAAATGCACCTACGCTCGGTTAACCGCCCAATAAAACTCGTGTTACGACCAAATCTGTTGGGACGTTGAGGATCTTGATATCATTCACAGCCTGTCAGTTGCGATGATAGTAATACATCCACCTGTACTCCAAACTCATAACTCATAGCTCATAACTCAATACTCAATTCATCTTGACTGTAAGTGGGAGCATGATGGGATATTTACATCGGATCCTAGGTACGATTCTCACCAAAATTCAATATTTATCTCCGTAGATTAGATAGAATGGTCTTTAAATTCTTCGATCCACCTGAGCATCAGCGCTTGATCAAAGCAGACTAAAACCAAAGCCCAACCCCGAACCAAACCCAATTTAAAGACGTTTCTCTTTCTTTTCCACCACCCTATTAATAAACGCTTCAGTCCTGCTTTGGTTTCAAAGTGGCGAATTCAAGAGTGAAGATTTGCAAGCTTAGAGGGGGAAGCTTCTACGCGTTCTTGCTCGCTTTCTTACTAGCTCTTGCCTAGGGCCTCCCACCAAAAAAATATTCGAAAAATCTCCCATTCCCTCCCTTCCTTACCTTGTTTGATCACCCAACTGGAGTTACCCCATTCATCATTCATCCAGTCCGTCCCTTGTACTTCCTTGCCAATACGCTTCCGTTCCCCACCCTATCCCTACAATCCTTGTTCGGAAAGTGCAATTACTATTAGTTAGTACATTTCCAAACAGGCCAATCTACTTATAAGTGCATTCTTCCTCCACATCCAATTCTTTTCTCTTCTTCCCTCACGCTTTCTTCCTACACATCGACATTCTCTCAAGATGGCTTCCCCTGCGTCACAACCTTCGGGCATGGCGAAGACCACCGAGCCAAATCGTAATAAGAAGTACGACCCAAAGAAACCTCACATCACCGAAGAACCTATCACCAGGGCAAATTGGTACAAACATGTTAACTGGCTTAACATCACTCTCATCGTGGGAGTTCCTATCTATGGTCTCATCATGGCCTACTGGACTCCGCTACAGTGGAAGACAGCTGTCTGGGCAGTCATCTACTATTTCATGACCGGTTTGGGTATTACAGCTGGTAAGTCTTCAACTTATTACTTTGCAATGATATCGTCTAATCCTCTTCTCCTTCCAGGTTACCACAGACTTTGGGCACATTCCTCATACTCTGCCACTCTCCCATTAAAGATTTTCCTCGCAGCCGTTGGAGGTGGAGCCGTCGAAGGTTCCATCAGATGGTGGTCCAGAGATCACAGAGCCCATCACAGATATACCGATACCGACAAGGATCCATATTCCGTTCGAAAAGGTCTCCTATACTCTCACTTCGGATGGATGATCATGAAACAAAACCCAAAGCGTATTGGCCGTACCGATATCTCCGATTTGAATGATGATCCAGTCGTCGTTTGGCAACACCGCAACTACATCAAGACTGTTATCTTTATGGGTATGGTCTTCCCTTGTCTCGTCACTGGTCTCGGTTGGGGTGACTGGTTTGGTGGCTTCATCTACGCCGGTATCCTCAGAATTTTCTTTGTTCAACAAGCTACTTTCTGTGTCAACTCCTTGGCTCATTGGCTCGGTGACCAACCTTTTGATGACCGTAACTCTCCTCGTGATCACGTCATCACAGCTCTCGTCACTCTTGGAGAAGGTTACCACAACTTCCATCACGAGTTCCCCTCCGATTACCGTAATGCTATTGAATGGCATCAATATGACCCAACCAAGTGGTCTATCTGGTTGTGGAAGCAACTCGGTCTCGCATATGACCTCAAACAATTCAAGTCCAATGAAATCGAGAAGGGTCGTCTCCAACAACTCCAAAAGAAGCTCGACCAAAAGAGACAAACTCTTGACTGGGGTGTTCCTCTTGAACAATTGCCAATCATCGACTGGGATACTTATCAAACTGAAGCCAAGAATGGACGTGCTCTTGTTGCCGTGGCCGGTGTTATTCACGATATTACCGATTTCGTAAAGGAACATCCAGGTGGAAAGGCTCTTATCACATCCGGTATTGGCAAAGATGCAACCGCTATCTTCAATGGTGGTGTCTACAATCACTCTAATGCCGCCCACAACCTTCTTTCAACTATGCGTGTCGGTGTTCTACGTGGTGGATGCGAGGTTGAGATTTGGAAGCGTGCTCAACGTGAAAACAAGGATATTTCTTTCGTCAGCGATACAGCAGGTCAAAAGATTATCCGAGCTGGTAGTCAGGTTACCCGCATTGCGGAACCTGTCCCATCGGCTGATGCTGCATAAGCATTTTCATTAATGAGTAGATGGTTAGACTACCTCGAATGGCAAATCAAAAATTGCATCTTTGTTTTTATGAGCGTGGGTTTGTGTGTCTGTATAGACCGGGGCGTTGGGAAATTGGTCAAAGGATGACTTTATTAAAGCCAAGGAATGGTAGGATGGATCAATCATTGCAATACGCACCACAATAAAGAGTGTTGATTATGTATTTTAGAGAAAGAATGAGTGAAAAAAGCCAAATTTCGCAAAGGTTGATGCTTCTTACATATTTGAGCCGACTAGCAATTGAACACATCATTTTCGCTCCATCTTTATGTTATTTCTGCTGTGATGTTAAGTATAGGTTTCTGCATGCATCCAATATCATTTTCAGTTCTGAAGTTATCATGAAGCTCCATCCGATCTTGTATTCGACAAATAGAACGGGCTATTGTAAAACTATCTGGTACTCGAGTCATTAGAGAATAAATATAAAGGAGTATTTCAAAGAGGGGGGTTATTTTTCCTTCAAGTTAAAATCATCTTTTATTGTTATCTATTTTCCTCTATTGTTTTTTATTCTTGTTTTTGAAAAAAAAAAAAAAAAAAATTAGAATATGGAGGAGAAGAGAAATACTCGAGTAGAATTATAAATTATAGTTTGATTATTTATCAAGGTTAATTGAATAGATAACCTTGGATTTTATTTCTTTTTATGAATTTATGATCTATGTCGAGTATGTTGAGTAAGATTTGAGTAAGATGTGATGTGATGTGTGTGATGTGTGGATTTGTGGATGTGTATGTGTGGATGTGTGTGTAATATGCCGAGGTTCATTTCTATTGACCCCCTGATATGTACATAACTCGGTACATAACATCGATGTCATTGAAGGAAGTAAGTAAGTAAGTAAGTAAGTACTCTTATCTAGATATCTACTAGTACTATTTACTTATATTTTACCGGTCCCTATCCAAGATCTTATCTATTTATATATACTATACTATACTATACTCGAGTCATCTGATTCAGCTCGCGGAGTTAACTTGGTATAGATAGATAGATAGATAGATAGATAGATTTACAGAGTACTTCTATCTCTCTCTTTACATTGAGACGGGTTACTTGTGTCAATCTATCAGTTAATCAATCAATCGGTTTTGTGATTTAGCCTAGGTATCTACGGTTAGACGGTAGAAAAGAGGAAAGAGAAAAGAGAAAAGAGGAAGCAAGGAAAGGAGCAAGAATGTCCTCATCTTTCAACGCAAAAACAGATGTAGGACTTAAACGGTTGGGTTTTCTTATAAAGGGCTGGAAGGATAGTAAGGGGGGTTATGTTGTAAGATCTTTTGTTTGTTTTTTTCCTTTTCTCTTTCCTTCGCTCCTAAGGTCGTCTAAATTTCTTGATATCATTGGAAATCATTGCATCCCCTCTCTTGGGACTCTGTCTCTATCTCCGGGGCCAAAGATTACGATGAATATACGATGAGGATTGAAAGAGGGAAGAGGCAAAGATGATATAAATATGGAACTGAGCTAATCGGGTTGACTCCGTATAGGGATGGGGTCATGGTCTCTTACCCTCTCTTTCGCTTGCAGTGGATGAGACGCTTCATACGGAGAATATTACTACGTTTGTTTTTAAACCGACGGTGCATCATTGGTTTGTTGTTATATTTTATTTTCTCGTTATTATATCCCTTTCCTTTCCTTTCGTTTCCTCTCATATTTAATTCTCTTCATCACACGAGCCCCTTTATTCCTCTCTACCTCAACCCAATCCCCTTCTTCCCCTTAACCCCCTAAAAAAACAAACCCCACTAACTCCACCAACCCACTAGCAACGGAATGGGCACCGTCCACGGTGGTTGCATCTCCACCGTCTTCGACGTCTGCACATCTGTAGCCCTAATGGGAAGATACAGTGATGCTAATTGGGGCGGAGGAGGTGTAAGTCGTGGATTGAACGTTACGTATTTGAAAGGGATTATTGTTAAAGATGAGACAGGAGAAGAGAGAGTGAAAATGATGTATTGGTTGAGTGTGAAGTTGTAGGTGGAGTGGGGAAGAGAAATGTGGTTTTGAGGGGTGAGTTGATGTTTAAGTTTTTGTTTTGGGGAGATGGAGGAAGGTGGTTTGTTCTTTTGTCTTGTTTTTTTTCTCTGGTCGATTTCTTGTTTTATCGTTTGTGTATCTTGTTGCATATAGCTTGGCTAATCCTCATAATACCCCTTTCACATACCGATCATCCTCCTCATCATCCTCATCCTCCTCATCATCATCATCATCATCTCACTATCCCTCATATCATTCTCTCCCTAACCACAACCACAACACCAAAAACCAAAAACCAAACAAAGAAAAGAAACAAATGAACTAACCACCCACACTTCACTTCAGGAACAATGAAACGACGCAATGGACAAGTATTAGCTATATGTGAACATAGCAAGGTTAATATCGTGAGGGTAGAGTTACCAGGTGAGAAGAAGGGATTGAGGGAAGGAGAAGAAGAAGGAAAAGGAGGCGAAGTTGTGAGTGTCATGTGGTTTTGTGATGTGTGTGATGGGAGATTTAGAGTTAGAGGGGACGGGTGGGAAGGGTGGGGAGGGAGAGAGGGAGGATAGATGGAATGGGTGAGCGGGCGGAAAGATAAATATGATGAGGGGATGTGGATGGGTATTATAAAGAAGATATATAGAAAAAAGAGTGAGAAAAGAGAGTTATATTTATTATATATTAAAATAGAATATAATATATATTTATAATACAAAATATAAAAACAATATCAAATATTATAATGTAAATCATTTATTTATTTATAAATAAATAAAACAAAATAAAAATAAAACTATAAATTCTTATAAATAAATATATTTTTTAAATTAAATAAAATTTTAAATAACTAATTAAAATAAATATAATATATATATCTATAATATATATATATATATATATCTATAAATACAAAGTAATAATAATAAATAAATAAAATAAAATAAAATCCAAAACAATAATTATAAATTTATCAATCTCAAATACTCTTTTCTTTTCCTCTCCCTCTTCTCTTAACTCTTCTTCTTCCTCCCTCATCCTCAACCCACAAAATTAAACCTCAACCTTATCTTTAACCTTAACCACTTTATTCCATTCCATTCCTCCCTCCTTCCTCCATTCCTTTCCTTCCACCCCTCTTCCCTCATTCTATCCATTCTTCCCCTCCTTCTTCCTCCATCATTCCTCCACCTTCCCTCATTCCATTCCTCTTCCTCTCCATTCCATCCATTCCTCTTCCTCCATTCATTCCATTCCATTCCATTCCATTCCATTCTCATTCATTCTCATTCCATTCCTCATTCTCATTCATTCTCATTCCATTCCTTCCTTCCCTTTCCATTCTCCACCTTTTCCACCATCTCCCTCTTTCATTCTTCCCTTTCTCCTCTTTCCATCCACCATTCTCCTCTTTCTCCATTCCCTCCCCCTCCTCTTCTTCTCTTCTTCTCTTCCTTCCTCCTCCTCATTCTATCCCTCTTTCCCTCCCTTTCTCCCTCCTCCACCAACATAACCTCATCTCCACCACCTCCCTCCACCATCATCTTCCATCCTTCCATCTTTCCATCTTCTCCACCTTCATCCATCCATCTTCTCCTTCTCCATTTCACCATCTTCCTCTCCTCCTCTCTCTCTTCTTTCTCCATTCCTCTCTCTCCTGCCATATCAAAATTATCTAATCTAATCTAATAAAACTTACAGTTACAATGAAAGATTTATATATAAATATTTGTGGACACATAAATATTTCTTCTCCAGAACCTCTAACCTCTTAAACTCCCAACCTAACACTAACACCTCTAAACCGAGATATATATTTATTTCTCCAGCCATCTCCTCAAAGCATATACAGTAAACACTCATTCATTCTCATTCTCATTCTCTCACACACCACTCATTCCTTCAAAAAATAACATATATTTAGTATCGTATTAACATATACATTTACATATACATAAACCACCTCAATCTTATTTCTCTTCCCCTTCTACTTCCCTTCATCCTCTCAGTCTTCGACACCATAACGTTCAAAGAACATTTCTTTTCTCCTCTCCTTTCCTTCCACCACTTCCTTCCACCACTTCCACCCTCACTCCACCCAATTCCCAGTTGCAAAAGCAGAACTGTATATGCATAATTAACAATTGAATAAAAGCCCATCAAATACAAATCTTGAAGAAGTTTCCCTACCTCCTTCCCGCCTACCAGATATGTATGTGATGATCATGCTCTCGAAAAAAGAGAACAAATACAAAAAGAAAAGTATTTGTATGTAATTCCACCCAGCCAAACCAAAACTCCTTGCTACCAGGTCCTATTTTATATGTCCATTACTCCTATCCTCGAGAGATACAAAGCAAACATTACCAACCTAGGATATGTTCGCCTAATTGTTCAATTCTGGAAACAATTTCTGGTAATGATGTTCACCCACTTCCAGAACCGTGATTTCATCTCCAACCTTTAAAGCACCAGTTTTAGTGGTTGGTACCAATTCATACCAAGACAACCAAGATTTTGACCGGCTCCTTCATCAATAGCTCTAAAGCTTCGTAAGGTTTTATCTGGTTCGGATGGATGTCTAACTCCTGTTTCTTGATCGACATTGGGCATTTTACATCGTACTGTTCGGCAGGAAACGTCATATTCATAGAAACCAATCTTAATTCTTCGCCAATCATCTTCATGGTAAGCTGGAGGTCCGGTAACTGGAAAGTATTAGCATTAGAAATGGATAATCTGTAAAGTTTTGAGAATGACATACTGATTAAATTGGCACGGAATTGTCCTGCAGATAATCTAGGCGCCCCCTTTTCCTTTGGCATTTTACTTTCGACATCTCTGATGCTAGCAAGGTTGACAAGGTGAATAGGATACTAGAATGAATTAGCAAATAATCCACACATCAAGTCTTGAGGTTTCGAAAAATCTTACAGCGTCCTGAAATCCAGTAACTGGTTGAAACCCAAGTTTCTCCTTTGTAGGTGCATTTCTGAAAACTTCTCTAGGATTCGCGCTGTCGACTCTGAACAAACCCAACTTGTTGCTGATAC